TCTAGATTTCACTTTGGCATTCCAACACAGAACTAGATCATTTAGGAGCATATCTTATGAACTCAACCATTTCAATTTATTCAATTTATTAAAAATGTATTGTTTGTGTCTGGGGACTAATTTTTTTTTAAAAAAAACATTGTTTTCTTATTGAAATGTTCAACATTGCGTTATATTTCTTGAACTAATATCTTTCTAGATATTAAAAAGGGAGCTCCTGTGGTTTCCATGGAAGAGGGAGGAGTGGGTCAGATTCTGTTTTGTTGTCTTGGATACCTTTCAGTGTATGAAACTTCTGTGCAACCATCGGCTGACATCGGTACACCCAGATATGTACAAACGAATCCGCTCCCACGTTAACCTTAAAGTAGAAATAACAAGTAATCAGTACTTTTCATTCATGCATTCATTCTTAACAAAGTGTGTCTAGTGGATGTCATTTTAAACAATTTTTTTTCAAACTTCTTTCTTACTTTCTTTCTTCCTTTCCTTCTCTCTTTCCTTCTTTTTCCCCTTTTTTCTTCCTCTTTTCTTTATTTCATTTCCGTACCTTTAAATTAATTCCTTGTCACTTTTTCCTTTTTCATTTTTACCTTTACGAAGAAGTGTGTTCCACTCTGGTAATCTCCTTGAGTGTAGTAAAACTTGGCTTGAAACTGTATGAACATTTTCTTTGTTTCACGTTCTGCATCAGCTTTAATCTATAAAAGAAAATCAAATCTAAAAATTGCATACACTAACAGTGTTTTTCCTCGTTAACAGGCTACTAGATAATTTAACATTCCCACCTGATTTGAAATGAAGTTTGATTAACAGACATACTACCCCATATACCTCTCTACCTTGGGCGTAATGTTTTACCATTTCAGACCATGTGTCATTCCCTAGAGTATTGTTTCTTTGTTTAATGATGGCATGTGGTAAGGCACATGGACATAATTATGGATACAACTCAGACAACTAAGAAAATCTTATTTTCAAGAGAGAATGACACATGGTCTGAAATATGGGAAAGAGGTATATCACAGTGCTTCAGTTCTTCTTGCTCTTGTTAAAATTTTTTTAAATATCCTTAATCCCTGCTTGAAGAAAATAGCCTGCAGAAGATATTGCATGGAGTGACTGATTTTCAAAGCCAAAATATAGAAAGATTTTGCCCTAAAAAAGTATACCATATGATTTGACAAACCTCATCACAAATGGATTGCACTTCGGGGTCGGCATCTTTCTTCTGAGATAAGTTAGTCCATGGACCTACAATGACAAAAAACAAACTAGTTATTTGCAGTCTGTGCAGGAAAGGCTGAGGTATTCAAAGTACGGAATCTGGAATGCATCGATGAAGTGTTTTCCCATTTCAGACCACGTCATTATTCTGAGAGTAACATTTCTTTGTTTGAGTTAAACAAAGAAATGATTCTCAAGGGAATGATACATGGTCTGAAATGGGAAAACATTCAATATAGGGGTCTATTTAGAGCCTGTGAGCCTGAATCTGCTATCTTTGGCCTAATCTCCTATAAAAATGTGAGGGGGAGGGGTGGTGACCTAACAATTATCCTGATTATCTAATATGAAGCTTAAATCACATGAAGATTCTTTGCATAACGGGTACAGGCCACTGTCTAGACTACATTGTCTATATTGACCTTTATCACCAGGTTCCAGTGAAGACTTCCATGGGAGGAGTGGGTCAGACTCTGATTTGTTCAACTGGATGCCTTTTAGCTGATGGTATTTCTGAGCCACTTGTGGTGCACATCTGTAAACCCAGATATGTACATAGGAACCATTGCCAATGTAAACCTGAATAAACCAATATCAAAACTCATACATGGGTTGAGGAATGCTATACAACTAAAAGCACTTTTATTCAGTTGCTAGCATGCATCTCCTAAATGCAGCCGCCATTCACGTTGTCATGCAATGCTCACTCTTATTTAGGGCAGTGAGCATTGTGTGAGGATATAAATGGGTGGCTTCGTAGGAGCTAGACTATCTGCATGCAGAGTCCTATTATTTGCATGCTCAGCATTTGCAGAAATGGAATAATTATGAGACTGCAAAAAACTTTAATTTATTTTTGTCCGCCCACTGATCCGCAACCAGAAATATATGACTTAAACAGCTGGAAAAAGTATCCAGGTCTCCCTATGGAGTGGCCAAGTAATTTGTAAAGTGTCCACTTCCCACTTAATTTACAAATCAGATCCACCCTTAAGTTGCTGCTGGATACAGGATTTTAAAGAGATGGAGGGGGCTCCAAAATGGCTGCCCCAAAGCAAAAAAAATGTCACATACAATTGGCTTTCTAAAGGGTAATCCAATTTTATAAAACCATGGAACCACACCCCTGGATCCCCCACTGACCACCCCCTCCAAAAACAACACATGAATGTTTCAAAAATAACTGGCACCGGTAAAGGAGTATTAAAGTTTTGTCATTGTATTCCTCCTAGACTCTGTTTTTGTTGATGTGTTCAAACTCATTCATACACTATAGCATAATAAAAATATATAAAAAACTTGTCATTGCCAATCACCACTGCAAAGCAGTGCCGCAGCTCAATGGAGACAAACTGAAATCATGTGAAGGCACCTCTGGCTACAGTTGCTACACCAGTCCATGTATGACCCCAGAGCACAGCTCTAAGGTTGCATTCATAATGTATGCAGAGGGGGGAGGGCAAGGGAAAATTTGAAATACGCAGAATAGTTCTTAACACCCCCCTTAAAGTCATACAAAAAATAAGATCCTCCTATGCAAGGCTTGTAGCTTCTTCCAAAAATTGTGCATCCCCCATTTTTCAGATAAAAATTTGCCCATTCCCCCCTTTTTCCTACCAAAATTTTACTGATTCCCCTCAATTTCACCTGCCCTGCCCCCCCTCTGCCATACATTATGAACGCAGCCTAACCAGTTTGTATTAGTTAGGGATAATGATTGTGCGCCCTACTCTCACTTGGGGTCTCGGGTTAAATTTCCAGAGCTTGATCACTGCACGCACGTTCAAAATATGGCCATGCAGTTTTAGATTTGTCCTTACCTTGATATAGAAGTCTATCCCAGTAAGTCTCTCTCCTCTAAGGTCATAAAACTTCGCTTCAAACTTTGTGAATGATCTGCCACTTTCTCGTTCTGCAAAGGATTTGACCTGAAAGAAAGAATGAGTCGTTACAAATGGACTATAAGTGTCTCAATCACAAATGAGGGGTTATGGCTTTGCTATTTTAACCATTCCCTCGTGATGAATCCCAATGGCAACCTTACAAGAGGTGTGACCAGCTCCCCTCCTACACAACTCCCCCCCCCCCCCCCCCCCCCCCCCCCCCCCCACCCCCCCCCCCCCCCCCCCCACACCACACCACACCACACCACACCCCAACAACATCAAAACCGCTTTGCATATCAAAACTACTTCGTCATATTAAAACGGCTTAGTCAGCTATATCTTTGAATTAAACATGACAATAAGATAAAAAGCGGAATACATCTGCATAATTATAAACTGATCGAACGTAACGAAACGTGCAGTCAATCATCAACTGCGGATACCCTTCTGCAGCTATCTCTTGTGGTCACGAACATATCTTTAAAATATTAAATTCTGAATGATTGAAAGAAAGAATACAAGAATAACTGAACTTTTGAAAAGAAAACATTTCAACTTAGTTCTATTCTGCATCATTTGGTCTGAATGATTTCGCGTGACACGAGCAAAATCGTACTATACGACCTTTCATCTCAGAAATACAAAACAATTGTACAAGTTTTAGTTTAAGGGCCTTTTAACTCATATTAGTACAGTATTTAGTTTCAATAAAAACTGTTATGAGTCATAGAGCAGGTTTTGGGTAACCAGTGACTACTTCGCCAAATTTTCGTATTGAAATGTCTGACTGTACGAATCAGTTTGTGTACAAAATTAAGAACCATTTAATTTACATAGGTAAACGTTACTTGTACAAACCTCGTCACAAATGCTCTGTATTTCGGCATCAGTTGGATTCATCATTGGTACGGTATTGGAAGTTACAGGATCTAACGCAATGTTGGTACGATGTCGTGTGAGAGCTGTGCTCAGCTGATTGATCACGAAGGGAAATGCGCTGGAGCGTCAAAACAGGTAGCCTTAAGTCGACAAAATTGGAAAGCCAGTCGAGTGCAATTTTAACTCTTTGTAAAGACTTGCGTTACATAAACTTGCAATCAATTGGCTTTTTTGAAATATCTTTTTGATTTTTCTTTACTTTAATACCCTTATTTTGCTCCTTGCGTTCTGCATGATAGTAACGCAACACCCTTAGCGTTACCGTTAGTAAAGGTTGATAGACGTCATTTCCCTTTTTGGATTTTGTTTTCTTTTTTTTGCACATTGGAAAACCTGGGGGCAAGGCAGGGATGCTCTTTGTACCTTATAGGGTTCTAAACCAGAGTAAAACTTGTACCTCTTAGGGTGGTTGTCAGGTGTAGTAAGATGCACAAAGTCATATTAATTCAATATATCTATTTTCAGTTCATCATCCATACCCAGTTGTACAAAGGGTGAATAGCGCTATCCGCTGGATAAATCTTATCCAGCGAATAAATTTATTGGATAGCATCATCTACTTATCCTCTGGATAAAGATGTACAACCAGGCCCTGACTTCTGTCAAGTAGATTACATTAAAAACCAATACCACTTAGCAGCCCGTGATGACAAGCAAACACTGCCAACCAGAGAGTGTTCTATTGTTCAATCAGCTGAATGCTAGTCTACAATTTAAAACCAATGCAAACCCTCACCCTAGCATTTTAACCTTTATATATAGATATTATTGGTAACACCCACACCCACATGAACATGCCCAGCCAGGTACCTTTTAGGGGTCCTTTTCAGAATTTCCAACAAGATCCTTAGCCCTTCTATACATGTGAGTACCCCCTCTCCCTGAGCAGTGCTTACCTCTCCCTGTAGGCTAGCATTCACCTGATTGATATCAAACAATACTAAGAATACTCTCTGGATGGCAGTGTTTGCTTGTCATCATAGGCTGGTAATAAGATTCATTACATTCATTTAGGTGATTAATAACAAATATGCATAAACTAAGTAATTTATGGGGTGGTGTCCATTGGGATTTGGATGGGGGAGGTGACATAGGGCAATCGTTTTCTCTGGTAACAATTAGGGTGGCTATCATTTATTGCATGTCTGAAAGATATTTAGTTTTTACAAAGTCTGTAGTTTGGGGGGAGTCACTAGGAACAAGTTAAGTTCTATTATTTATTTCATTTGAAAATACGAAAGTTTACATGGTGCATAGATTTTAGGAGACATAAAAATTTTTATTACAGTATCGTTAAGAAATATATAATGTTTTTCAGTTCATGGGAAATTATTTTTAGTGGATGATTGCTCATATTAGAATTCATTCCATGGTATTACCAAGTATTAGAAGTAGGTTATTGGATCAGCCTCAGACTTGTCGACTTGAATACTATCGAGCTCTAGTGTGGATCCAGCATGAGGAAGCGACCTAAATACCCTAACGTGGACATAGGAATCCTCTCCTACATGAACCTTGAATACAAAATGAAATTCATTCAAATTCAGGTAGTTCAAGAAAATATCCATATCTTCCCCCATGAAGGAGATTGGAATTTCCAATGAGTGGATATGGTCTGAGGAGAGCACGCTATGACAAGTTATGGAATCCAATTAGTTCTTCTATATAATGAATAGAGTGCATGAAATATTTTTGTGAAAAACTTTGTAAGAAATTGCACAACTTTGTACAAATTAGTAAGTTCAGTATACCTTGAGTAGACCGTAGAACTACAAAACTGTACCTATTTGTACAGTTTTGTAGACGCTTGAAATATAATTGCTTTAAATTCTGCTTTGCTTGTGTCTTAGGTATCGAATTCAAAGTTTTCATTTTCTCCTACCTTGATGAAGAAATTTGTACCAGCGACCACTTGACTGGCGTAAAACTTGGCTTCAAATCTTGAAAACGATTTCCCTGCCTTCCCTTCAGCTGCAGTCTTTATCTGTGAATAAAACCAAAACCTTGGAATGTTAGATACACTATAATTGAACCTTTAAATCTTAAACAAATTAAGCTTAAGATACAAGGAGATCTTTTTGTGGTACTATCGTCGTGTACGGATTAACGAAGTACGTCATAGGTTTCCGAACACACGAGTGTGACTTAGAAATTTTGCTTCTCCTCACTTAGAAAAAAAATTAAGTGAAGACACCAAGAATCGAACTCGGTACCTTCGGCACCAAAGAACTACTACAATGCCAACCCCAACTCTAACCCTAAACCTAACCCCTAGACCACGAAGCGAATTCGGTTGGGTGGGTCTCATTTTTTAGTCATATTTAAACGATGTATCATCAGCATGTGTACATAAATATTTATTATAGTTTAATTTATGCTATCGTAGGGTACGACTACTAGCCGATTACTCGAAATTTGAATTTGAATAGAATTCCTCTGACAATTCCCGTACAAGACGATACAATCCTTTTGTAATAAGCTTTACATAAGACGAATAAAAGCCTTAAAATATTTACGGATTTTGAACCAACCTCGTCACAGATTTTCTGTATTTCGGCATCAGCAGTTTTCTGATCTGTTAAACCACCACAAGACATACTGAATAAAGTTTTTGAGTACTTCAAAAGTGAGTCTTTTTAATATTTCAAAGAATAAGAAAAGCCCCTCCTTAGTCTCACGCTTGTCATGTGAGATGGTATGATAAATATAGCTTTTGTCGAGGCGTTCCTGGAGGAGGTGGAGAGAAGTCTAGGATTGAAAACACAGGAAGACCAACATCTCGCTCTCTACCTTCCTTGCCTTCGTCTCATTTTCTCGCAATAGATTAACAAACATCCACGGTATAAGATCCTGAGCTAACATCTGGGCTGATTTAAGTCAGCGCACAGCTAACGTATGTCGAAAAAGACTATTCCACCTTCCATCATAACAAACTGATGTACAACAAAACATATGAAGCAATAAACAGCTTACCTCACCGTGAAGGCCCTATTAGGGGGTACCTAGTACTATAGTTCGTGGTTTTCTTGTCGCCGTAATTTCGAGGCCATGTCGCAATCAATTGCAGGCACGTAAGTAGGTGGGTAGGTCGGTAGGTCGGTAGGTGGGTAGGTCGGTAGGTCGGTAGGTCGGTAGGTGGGTAGGTGTGGGTAGTGTGGGT